ATTGGAGAAGGAAAATTAGGGTGCGAGTGAAGAATTTTGCCGGTGAATTTCATTAGCCGGATTTTCCATCCGCTGACGGTGAGCTATTGAATTTAGGATTTAGGGCGATGAATTATGGGTGACCATTTTACAAATTAGGGGTAATATCGTCTGTTTGGTTAATTTAGGGCGAAAAATTTAAAAACTTAGGGCGTTAAATAGGAATCCAGTTAGTTATTTATTACGCTAATCTAATAAAAAAGAGGTTTTCTTCCTTTAAACATCGCAGGATCTGAAATCCAGAATAACAACGTAACTTTTGTCTTCTACTTACCTGTAAAAAGAATCTCACCGAAACTGATCAATGACGTACGGTCTCTTCGAGAAACCGAGAATCACTAGTGTAATTTGCTTTCCCCCTTGTAATTAATTATTCACGTCTCTCTCTATATAAACCTCGTGTATAACACTTACTGCTCATTCATCGACTGAGTAAAGAAACAAGAAGCACCCAAAAAAGAAAAGGAAACAAAGCAAGAAAGAATGAACTCCAAAGCCGTGCTCATTTTGGGACTTGTTCTGGCCGCAGTGCTCTCGCCTCAGGCCATGGCTACCCGTGTAAACAATGGTAAGTTACTTGGTTAATTTTCTGTGGTATGTTATTGTATGACATACATCCTTTGTTATTGGATGGTGTGGCATTTGAAAAAATTACAGGCACGGGAGGTGAAGGCGGGGAGGCGATGACAGATGCTGGTGTATCGTGCTTGACCGTGCTGAGCGCCTGCGGCGTTGGATGTTGTCACTGCGAGAGTAGGAATACCGGCGGAGTCAGCAAATTGTGGTGCACAGGCTGCTGCTAGTGCTAGCTACCTCCGAGCCTTGTCTAGCCAACGTAAGTATATCTATTTTCGAGCATGCTCTTCATATAGAATTTATCACGAAAGCGTTTTTGACTTGTTGATCTTGAAAGCATCTCTTTTTTCTTTTTTCCACAGTCGCAGACGAAGATAAAAATCTTTTGAGCATGTGAACTGTGACTTGTTACTCTATTGTTTGAAAAGAATGTGTTTCGGTACAAAGTGGCAGTCTTGGATCACAGAAGCTATCTCCACAATTCACTTCTCTGTTCTTGTCAATGGAGAATCAATAGGCTACTTTCGGAGCAATATTAGAGGGTTACGTCAAGGTGATCCTTTATCTCCTTTTCTGTTTATTATTGTGATGGAAGGTTTATCCCTCATTCTTGACAAGTTAAAAGATGTCAGGCGTATAAGGGGTTCTACATGAATCATGAAGCATTTTAGGACTGGTCACACATCTCCAGTATGCAGATGACGCTCTTATCTTATGCGATGCTACTTATGACAACATACTACATATAAGAGCTGCACTAGCCTGCTTTGAAGATCTCTGGTCTCAAAATTAACTTGGCAAAGTCCGATTTGTTCACAGTGGGAGAGCTTTCATGTGCAGATAACTTGGCCAACATTCTAGGATGCAAGCTAGGATCCTTTCCTACAATATACCTAGGTTTATCACTGGGTGCCAATCCATCATCCGCTACTACATGGTAACTGGTTGTTGACAACATGATTAGATGATTAACGTCATGGAAAGGTACTATGCTTTCACTTGGAGGAAGCATTGTATTACTCGACAATACACTTTCTGCATTATCTGTGTATTATATGTCCCATCTGTTGGCTTTTATGGCTATTATACAAGTATTGGAAGGGATACTGAAGAGATTCCTTTGGGTTGGTTGTGAAGAAAGTAGCAAAGTACATTTAGTGAATTGACAATCAACAAAGGTTGAACGCTCTGTTGGAGGCATTTGCATTAAAGATCTCCATTATTTAATATCTCTCTGTTAGTTAAATGGTTTCATAGATATCACGCAGATAGACAATCTTGGTGGAGATCCCTTGTCAATCACAAATTTGGTTACCTCGACACCTCTACTTGCAAGTCACTTCAGGAGCAGTTCATAAATATGTTTGGAGAAGGATTCTTAATGTGGAGCACTATTTCTGGCAGGTGGTTGTCATTAGACCAAACTCCAACTCATCTATATCTTTCTGGAGGGATTGTTGGATCCCAAGCTGCATCCTTTCAAAATCTTTTCCCTCTCTTTTTGTTGCAGCAAAAAACAGTAGTTGTTGTCTTTCAGATACCTTTGAAGTCAATGATGGTGCAATCACTTGAAATTTTAAGTTCAACTATGCATTTCGTGGACAGCTTCTGCGACAAGAAGTTTTCAGAGATATTCTCAATAACATTCCTATTATTTGGCTCCAAGGTGTAGATGACAATCTTCAATATCTACTATCAAAATATCGGTTCTCTGTTAATGCTTGCTACAAATACCTTACACAAGAAATGTTCCCCGGTATTGGAGAGGCATTTCCAGAAAATATTATTTGGAATCCAACAGCTGCATCCAAAGTTTCAGGATTCTCTTGGTTGGTCTTTCAAGGTAAAATTCTCACACTTGATCGACTTAGGCAACGAGGCTAGTGGCTTCCCAATCATTGTTGTATGTGCTTCGCAGTAGAGGAAACTTTAGATCATCTCCTACTGCAGTACTACACATATGCAGATCAAGTCTGGAGCTTCCTCTTTTATTGTCTACATTTACAAGGTCCAAAATCAAGGTATTGCAGGGATCTTATCACCGAATGGTCAACTCTCTCTATGGGCTGCCAGTTCAGGAAACCGATACGATTATTACCCTTAATCGTTCTATGGCATTTGTAAATTAAAAGGAACTTGAGAATTTTTCGGGATTGTAAGTCTACCATTGTAGGCAGTATCACCAAAATCAATGGAAGTATATTTGTGAATCTTCTATGGCTCATAGTCTTATCCCAACATATCAAAGTAGCCTTATTTACTCTCTGTTTTGTAGAAACAATTATATCTCTTCTTTTCAATCTCATTGAGCTTGTAACATGTCATACTAGCTCTATTTCTTCATCTATTTCCCTTTATTCTGTAACTTTTATGGCTGTATTTTGGAGTTAGTCCATTTCTTATGGACCCTCCACTTTTTCGATGAATACAAGCACACTCACACATTCATTAAAAAAATGTCAAGAAAGGATACAATTCAATTCCCCCCCCCCCCCCATCATTTTATTATTAGAAGTGAGAGTATACGATGGATTTTTGAAGGTTTTGATTCTCCAAATTGATTCATTCAATCAATTTATGTATTGTAATTTGATACATTGATTAAATGTATAACTTTGAAAAGATTTTGTTTGGAGGTTTAGTTGTGTAATTGTTATTAAAAAAAAGTTTGGTAGACAATTCCTTGTTAACAATTTCACATTTTGGTAGAGACGGATGGGAGCAGATCCGGTGAGTAACCCCATCCATAACCCAATAAGAATCTGCCACATCTGCACCTCCTTCTCTCTCCTGGAAAAATCATTAATTTTCTTTCCCTTAATCTTTAACGGACGATTTCTCACTCGTTTTAACTCGGAATTTAATTTTTTTTTGCACAGTTAAATCAAATTAATTGTGTTCTTCAAAATGATATCCACTTTGATATTTTTTGGAACAAAAAAAATTTGCCAGTTATTACCAGTCTATACCATATGGTATTGACTGGTATTAAATAACAGCATAGCATATGGTATGAAAAATATCAGTCAATACCATATGTTGTTATTTAATACCAGCCAACACCATATGATATTAAATAACAGCATACCATATGGTATGAAAGATACCACCTCATACCAGGGTGGTATAGTATGGTATGGAGTTGGTAATGAGAGGTTTGAAAAATTTTCCCCCATAAAATTTTGAAATCCAATAGATCATGATTAAATCGTTCCTTTTGTGCAAAAATTTCCGAAAATGACTAAACAACGAAGGAGATACCATATGGTATGGAGTTGGCAACGAGAGGGATGGAAATTTTTTTTCTCAAAAAATATTGAAAATGGATATCATTTTGTAGAGCACAACGAACTCGTTCCATCTGTTCAAAAAAAAAAAAATTTGAAATCCGAGTTAGAATGAAGAAGATATGATCCAATTAAGAAAACTAGGGAAAATAAATTCATTTTATTCTCCACCCTTAGATCTGCAATCACTTAAAAGAAGGGTCCAGATTTGGTTACTCATTGTTACTCACCCTAAAGTTACTCACCCTATCTTGAGCCGAGACGGATAGTCGCTCATTTTAAGTAATTGTAAATGAGCCCATAGAAAAAGAGAATACATGTATTCTATCTCAAATTTAGCTAAAAATTTATTTAATCTTGACATTAGTTGGTTATAAATGAAATCCCAGCCTTCAAATGCACCAAGATTTGTGAATCCAAAGATTAAGAAAAGGGCTTAATTGCAAGTTTGGTCACTCGAATTGCTATAAAATTTCACGTTTGCCACTCGAATTAATTTATTCCATTTATAGTCACTCGAATTAGTTGAACAGTCCAAGTTCGGTCACTCTCCGTTAACCTCCGTTAGACTCCGTTAAATGTTAATGACGACCGTTAAGTGATGACGTGGCTAACAGAAAGACACAGTTAGCACATTTTAACATTAAAAAAAGACGACCCGACCCGCCAGCTCAGCCTTACCCGCCCTGTCAACCATTTTTTGCCCAACCCACGAACCAACCGATTCAACGGCCATCCACTCGTCGTTGTCGCCTCCTCATCTTTCATTCATCAGCCATCCACCTGCCGCCCTCTCCCTGTTCTTGATACGTCTCCTCTCTCGCTCTTTTCTTCTTCTCTGCCTTAAATTCGCGAGCAAGAGTATCGATCGATCAGGAAGAAGAATTAGAGGCATTGAATCAATCATTCAATCGACGCAACTACTCTCTCCCTCGTCTTCTACTTACTCGCTCAGATCCGGCGAAGAGTGATATCAGAAATGGCGTCAACGTTCAGCGGCAATGAGACTGCTCCTTTCTTCGGCTTCCTCGGAGCCGCATCCGCCCTCGTCTTCTCCTGTAATTTTCGGAACCTTTCTATTTCCGATTTCCGATTCAGTTACTGTAGATCTATGAGGATTAATCTTGGATCTGCGGTTGCGCTCGTGTAATTTGTTGTTGCGAGCATGGGAGCTGCATATGGCACGACGAAGAGCGGGGTTGGAGTGGCGTCGATGGGGGTGATGAGGCCCGAGCTGGTGATGAAATCCATTGTTCCGGTGGTTATGGCTGGTGTCGAGCAGGAAGTGTCGAGCAGGAAGTAGAAATGGCCCGAATCCACCGACCCAATGAACCCTTGCATATCGTCGAACGCGCGAATCGCTTGGCGGGTGAATCCGGCGGCGATCTGCCGCCGAATGAGGACGGAGAAAGTGGTGAAATTGGGCTGGGAATCTGAATCCTCGTCGTTTTGCTGCCACATCTGGATGGTTAGCTGCCAACAAACGTCGAATTGGTGAACCTTCGCGAGGATATCGATCATGAGGTTGTAAGCGGCGGAGGTGGCCGGAGAAGAAGGGAGGGAGAGAGAGTAGTGGAAGAGGGATAGGGCGATCTTGGAGCTGTGGCGGAGACAGATTAGGGTATGGAGGAGGAGGGAAGGCGTGAGCGAGATTCCGTTGAGCTGGAGGCAAGATTCCATGGCGTGGAAAGGGTTGTGGTGGTGGAGGAGCATCTGTGAGAGCAGTTCGGCGTCGGCGGATGGTTCGAGTGTGGGGAGCTCGGAGGTGACTGCGGATGCGGAGAAGTTTCGACGGCGGAGGAGGAAGGTAGTGGTGGCGAGGGCTCGATCTCTGTTTATTTTTCAGGGGGGTTGTGTCTCGGGTTTGGATTTGGGTCAATTAATTGGGTTGGTTCGCGGGTTGGGCAAGAAGGGCTGACATGGCGGGTAAATATGACGTGGCGGGTCGTCATTTTTTAGTGTTAAATTATGTTGACTGTGATTTTCTGTTAGCCACGTCATCACTTAACGGTCGTCATTAACGGAGTCTAACGGAGGTTAACGGAGAGTGACCGAACTTGGACTGTTCAACTAATTCGAGTGACTATAAATGGAATAAATTAATTCGAGTGGCAAACGTGAAATTTTATAGCAATTCGAGTGACCAAACTTGCAATTAAGCCTTAAGAAAAGGGAAAAGCCGGCTCAAGATAGGGTGCATAACCATGGGTTATGCACCCATCAATAACCAAATCTGGACCCTTCATTTAGAAAATCCAGATCTAAAGATGGAGAATTAAAGACTATTTTTATTTTCACTAGTTTTCTTAATTGACTCATATCTTTTTCGTTTTAACTTAGATTTTAATTTTTTTTGCACAGATGGAACGAGTTCACCGTGCTCTACAAAATGAGATCAATTTTCAATATTTTCTTAGGAAAAAAAAATTCTGGCCTCTAGGTACCAATTGCATACCATATGGTATCTTCTTCGTTTTTAATTCGTTTTTGAAAACGTTTGCACAGCAGGGACGAGTTCATCATGATCTACTGGATCTACAAAATTTCTGGATGAACAAATTACACGACCAAAAAATACCACACAATACCATACAATACCACCCTGGTACGGGGTGGTATTGTATGGTATCTTCTTCGTTTTTAATTCGTTTTTGAAAACGTTTGCACAGAAGGAACGAGTTCATCATGATCTATTGGATCTACAAATTTCTGGGTGAACAAATTACAGGACCAAAAAATACCACACAATACCATACAATACCACCCTGGTACGGGGTGGTATTGTGTGGTATACAATGTTAAAAGTCGTAAATTACAATTAATATACTTCTACTATCATGTATTCAACCATCCTACAGTATTGGTTTGTTCATACCACCATGGTACGTTTTTCAAAACATATGTATGCTTTTATTTCAATACCAGTCAATACCATATGGTATAGGCTGGTAAAAAATGGCTCAATTTTTTTTGTTTGAAAAATATATTAAAGTCGATATCATTTTGAAGAGCACAATTAATCTGATCTAACTGTGCAAAAAAAATTAAATTTCGACTTAAAATGAGCGAGAAATCGTCCGTCAAAGATTAAAGAGGGAAAAATTAAAGGCTTTCTATGAGAGAGAGGATGCTGATGTCATGCTGATGTGGACGGGTTACTCATGGTTACTCACCATAAGGTTACTGACCTGATCCATTCCCGGAAAAGCCCAACAATAATTATTTAAAAGGGGAAAGTACATAGAGAGAATTTGTAAATGTAAACTGCAGCAACAGTAAGGCTGAATTATTCATCATCATGTTGACAGTGATGAGCTTCTTTTACTTTGCGTTCCACCAGCCGATTATTAGCAACAGAATACGCAGTTAGGCGTTAAAAAAGAACGACAGGAACAACACCATCGTTTGGGGCATTCTTCATCCCAATTTCTGCAGAGGATCCGCGCTTCGTCTATCGTCTCTGCGAACACAAACACCAAGTAATTAGCAAAAGCGCATAAGATCTCAAGAATCAAATAAATCTGAATTATCATCACAACAAAAGATGGAGTACTCGTTTAATAAGTTCATGTACTAATCTAATATGCCATGATTAAGAAGTGCACAAAAAATAGGAATAATTAACTGAAGATGACCTGAGTGGTGGTCAGAGCGGGGGAATGGGATTGCAGCCACCGAGGAAGGCAAGACGGCGACGACCAACGCAATTATGAGTAGAACTCTAATTAAAACACCAACTGATTTGTTGGCCTTCATCGTGTCAATCAGTAGTCGGACGATGGAAAAAATGGACGGATTTGTAGTAATGTACGTGTGTGAGTGAGTGAGTGAGTGAGTGAGTGAGTGAGTGAGTGGTGGTGTTTATTTTTGTGCTGTAACCATTTATATATATGGGCTAGGCCCAAAGGTGCTGCCGTCGCCGGTAGAGGTGCTCCCTCCGGTAGATATGCTCCGTTTTTTAACCTCAGACAAAAAAAAAAAAAAAAAGCAATGCCTGGTTAACTTTCTCAACATCCATTATATAAAATTAAAAGAAGATAATTATAAACAAAAAGGGTTTCCGCAACCGACACCCGTCACCGACTTTTATTGCCGATCAACCGCGGACCTCATATGCGCGATCGGGTTGCCCATAGAAATCAAATGAGCAATTAGCTGCATCCTATCCTATCTAGCTGGGTCGTTAGTTATTAGGCTAATATAATCAAAAGAATACGTTGATGTGACCATAGTTTTTCTTTTCAAAATGATCGCATCAAAAGAATATGTTGATGTGATAAGGACTTATATTATCGTTATTAACGGTTAGCTGTTAATTTTTTAATGTTAGTTTTCAGAATGAAAGAGGCCATGGCGCAAATTAATTTGTTCAACAGTCTATTACTTTTGTAATAATAACATACTAGGTGGCGATGCCCTGCCTTGTCGCGGGGCGGAGATGGTCTATTGACATGTATTATGTGGCCCGTTATGGTGTTTTGTTAGTATTATTAACCTAAAATTAGTTTTTGTTAGCAGTTTTGTTAGTAATATTGACTTGACAATATGATATTGACTGAGAATAGATATATGGCGGTCAACATCCAATTTAGAAATTTTGAAAATTTTGGCTAATAAATGATTTTTACTTAAATCCAAGTAGACTCATTGATTATGGGTAGGGTATGTGTGACGTATATATGAGTTTGGAAGTTTGTAGATGGTTTGGGTAGGATATAAATATTTACTTTCATAATCTAAAGATGTGTATGAGTTGGGTATGGATACCCATTTATTCGAGGGTGTTTTAATTACACATACAAAAATTATACCTATTTATAGAACTTCAAAAGTTTAGGTACTAAGATGTAATACACAAAAAATTAGGTACTAAAATGTAATGTTCCATAAATATTTTGAAGACTTATATGAAAAAAAATTAATTTAGGATATAAATCTAAAGATCTATTAAGTTTAGGTATCCAACTGTAATTTGTATAGTCGAGGCTTAATTTCTTTTATGGTGATGTATTTAAGATGATAATTATTTACTTTTTTATAAAAATATAAAAATATATATTTGATATTTACAATTGTTGAAAATTCCATGTATAATTGTTGAAAAATTTAGAACGGGTGAAAAAGAAAAACTCTAGAGTGAAGCAAAAGATATACAAACTAGAACTCGCTAAAACTTTGATGCCTTAAAATCCCATAGTGGAAAATGATGACTTTCTTATAAGTAATAACATATATATTTGTTTTTAACTGGACTCAACATTGAGCTGAAAAAGTTAGTGGTTCATGGTTCAATTATTAATTCTCTAGACCGTTGGTTAGTCGTGTATGGACACGTTCATACTTGTGATTAGAATACATAAAAATATTATACTAATTAGGGTTAGACGAAGAAGGCAAAGAAACAAATAAAAAAAGGGTTATGGAAGGCGAGTAAAAAATGAATTGAAGGGAAAGTAGATGATGGAAAGGTTTTGACCAATTCTTTTAGTTGACCGTCAATGCAACATTCAACCATTTTCACAGTAGCAATTTATTGACACTTGCTTATGTAGATATCACTGTTATAAACGCGCTGCTACGGATAGGGAAATCGCTGGAATCGATAAAGCAAGAATACAAAAGCGAGAATCGAAAACACGACACACGATTTACGTTGTTCACTAACACGATGTGTGTTAGCTACGTCCACAGGCGAGAGAGAGCCAATTTCACTATATCGAGGAGATTACAGATTACAGAGGAGTATGAGAAGTATTTATAGTACTTCTCCATGTGGGTCTAAACCTAATCCAATCTGGCAAAGGAAACGGTTACAGACCAGGCCCAGAACCCGAACCCAAATAACATTGAGCCCATACACCGTGGTCAGCGAGACCCCCGGTTACCAGTCGTAGCGGCTGATAGTCCGATTCAAGTCACATCAACAAATCTCCACCTTGACTTGAATCCTCTTCCTCTGAAATCTCTGATGTACTTTGCTCCTTCTCTCTCTCCTGCCATCAATGCCCCGTAGGGCGGAGTCACCCACTCAAGACATTCAGCAAGTCCAAGCAGTGTTGGAACTTGCCATGTGGAACCGGCTTCGTGAACATATCAGCAGGATTATCCCCGGAGCCAACCTTCTTCACCTTAATCCTCTTCTCTGTCCTTAAGAAATGATACCTCACATCGATGTGCTTAGTCCTCTCATGGTGGACTTGATCCTTGGCCAAGCATATTGCACTCAAACTGTCGCAATACACCACTGCCTGATCATGATGTAGACCCAGATCACCAACCAGTCTCTTCAACCATATTCCCTCCTTAGCAGCTTCTGCCAACGCCATATACTCTGCCTCAGTAGTAGACAATGTCACTGCCGACTGCAGAGTTGCCTTCCAGCTCACTACAGAACTCCCAAGAGTGAATACATAACCGGTCATCGATCTCCTCGTGTCAACATCTCCAGCATAGTCCGAGTCAGAATACCCAGACACCAAGCACTCTGTATCACTTCCGAAGCTAATCCCCACATCAGGTGTACCCTTAAGGTATCGGAAGATCCACTTCACAGCCTGCCAATGCTCCTTCCCAGGTTGTATCATAAACCTGCTGACAACACTAACAGCATGTGCAAGATCAGGTCTAGTGCATACCATAGCGTACATCAAGCTACCTACTGCACTAGCATATGGGACTCTCGACATGTACTCCTTCTCATCCTTTGATTGCGG